TTGCCTTTATCGATCACCACGTCTACCTGAATATTTGTTTGTTCAATCATGCTGTTTTTCATTATTCGTGTTATCACAGATTACCTCACTTTTTCATCCTTATTATTGATAAGACCATTTTTATTATTACTATTATTATTATTATCATTACTACTATTATGACTAATTGCACAATTTATATTCACCATCTTATAGACATCCTATAGACAAAACACCATGATAGGTTTATATATGAATTTTTATTTGTAAACTTATGTATATTAGAGTTAAAGCTGATGAGATCTAATTGAAAACACAATATTGTTCAAACTTTTAAAACAATAAGTTCCTTTTATGAATTTAGATTCAGCAATAAGAAGACGTAATTTGTCTGAATCGTGTAGTGTTGTATCTGCACAACACATTTCGAACAATCTGATCACACACGGACTTGTCATAGGAATACACATATATGAAATTAACAGAGAGTTAAGACGTGAGAGAATAGACTTTTTATTGATAGGTCAATAAAAAGATCTGTTTATAGAAAACCTACCTGGACAGGACAGTATCTTAATTACCACAGTTTCTGCCCTGTTCGGTACAAAAGAGCCTTAGTAAGGTGCCTCTTCAGTAGAATCCAACGAATATGCACTGAAGACACACTTGATGAAGAAGAAAGAAAGTTGACACAAACTCTGGTTGATAATAATAATTATCCAGACAAGTTCATCAGGAGATATATAAAGTAGTGAGAACGCCAAGACCCACTCTCCAACTCGCTGCTAAGAAAGACGTGTACATAAAGCTACCCTATATGGGGCATCAGAGCAGCTTGATAACTAGACAAAGATTGAACGCTGCTGTCAAAAAAACTTTTTATGTAGCCAATATCATAATAATAGAGAATGTAAAGCCAATATATCTATCTTAGCCCTTCGAACATGCGAAAAATGACGTCACATCCCACTGTATTTACCAATTTGAATGTACGTGTGGACACACATACATAGGGAGGACTCATCGATCTCTGCAAGTAAGGGCTTCAGAACATATTCCTAAATGGCTCCAGGAACAAATGGAATCTTCAGAACCTATTAACAGTGAGAAAAGGAGACCCAGCTCTTCTATTGCGAAACATATTATAGAGACAGGACATAAAATTGACGTTAACAGATCTTTTAAACCTATCTATAAAACGTGTTTGGGACGTATCCTAAAGTTTGTGGAAGCCCTAGCAATTAGAAAGTTTAAGCCACCTTTATGCGTTCAAAAACAATTCATCATCACATCATCCTTGGTAAATTTTGTTTTGATACCATAGCAGATGTACTATTACCTCTGCTATTTGGTTTAGTGGTCTTCATTGTTACTTTGACCTTGAATATGTCCTTTTAACTTGACCTAAGTCTATTTTCGCACTCCTCACCTCTTTATTAATTTCATATATATTCCTATGACAAGTCTGTGTGTGATCAGATTGTTAGAAATGTGTTGCGCAAATACATTACACGATTCAGACAAATTACGTCTTCTTATTGCTTTATCTAAATTCATAAAGGGAACTAACTGTTTTAAATCTAACATTACTTAATCGGTTCATTTGTTTTTACTGGCCTTTATCGACTACTTCCACCTGAACATTTGTTTGTTCAATCATGCTGTTTTTTCATTATCCGTGTTATCACAGATTGCCTCACTTTTTCATCCTTATTATTGATAAGACCATTTTTATTATTACTATTATGACTAATTGCACAATTTATATTCACCATCTTATTATCCTATAGACAAAACACCATGATTGGTTTATGTATATTAGAGTTAAGCCTGATGAGATCTAAATGAAAACAAAATGTCACTGTTCGCTTAAATGTGTTGGTCTAAACAAACAAACCTAAGCCAAGTTGGTAGAAGACAGAACCAAGGTTGTCTCCACGACAGCAGAAGCGGTTGTATACACAGTCCCGGTATTCCCATGTGAATCGCTAGAGCTTTAGCACTGTGTGGTGAAGAAGAAGACGTGTTGTCTTTAATGGCAGGATGTTTTCCCTCTACGCTTCATTTTGAAGGAAGAGTTTGTTTCGACAGAATGACCAGTATTAGCAGAGAGTTCAATGATCGCACTCCTGATAGAGTTACTGCTGCTGTTGCTGCCTTTCTGCAAGCATGCAAGATGGTGTCCTTGAATCCTTTCAGCTGAAGAAAATAAAATTTCTGAAAAGAGTCTCTTAGCTGAATTACTTGTTTTGATTTGAGCTTGTAGTTTAACGTGAAACCAATCAAACCGCTGCAAAACTAACACTTGAAGCCTAATGGCATAATCGAGTCACAGGATTTTCATCAAGAGCTGACATCAGTTAGAGAACCATTGGAAAACCTGGGAGTACTGGACAGCTGTTTCGTCCTAGTTAGAAAATAGAATTCATGGGCCATTGGATCGGCTCCCAGTGGCTTAATGGTATACGAGCTCGCCTTGTAACCAGAAGGCCCTAGGTTCGAATCCCGGTTGGTGCATACCGATGAAGAGTCCCAAACTAGGACGAAACAGCTGTCCAGTACTCCCAGGTTTTCCAATGGTTCTCTAACTGATGTCAGCTCATGGTGAAAATCCTGTAACCAATCAAATCCCTACAAACCAACACTTGAATAATCGAGTCAGTTATTCTTTTACAGTGAGCATTCTAAAATAGATCCAGCAAAGAAAATTACCATCCTGTAGCCAAATGGTTAGTCGAACTCTAACAGCCTCTTCATACTGAGTTGGTGAAACACAGTGTAAAGGAAACTTTTGGATTTGTTGAAAGGATAAAAGATTTAAATGTTGACAATAAATTCATGATATCATTTGACGTATCTTCCTAATTCACCAATGTACCACTTATGGAAACAGTGGACTTTGTATGCGAAGAACTCAAAAGACGAAACATCGATGTTGGCATTGCAATATCTTTTTATGAAAGAGCTTCTCTTGAAATGTACAATGAATGTCCACTTTTTATTTAATAAGGAACTGTATAGACAAATCGACGGTGTGGCAATGGGGTCACCACTAGGACCCATTCTAGCCGACATTTTCCTTGCGAAACTAGAAAATGGGCCTTTGAAGGATGTTATTAATGAACTCGAATTCTGTTGTCGGTACATGGATGATACTTTTTTGATTATGAGGAACGAAAAGGAAGCAAAGAACATCCTGGATAAATTTAACGAGGTTCATCCTGCAATAAATTTTACTATTGAGAAAGAAAATGACTCTAGTGTTTCATTTTTAGACGTCCTTATGACCAGAAAGGAGGAGCACAATAAGAAGAAGTGTTTATAGAAAACCTACATCAACAGGCCAGTACACACATTTTCTCAGCTTCGCGCCCTAGAAATACAAACGCAATCTGATAAAGTGCTTGGTCTGCCACAGAGCAAGAGCAATATGCTCGGATGAATTTCTTGATGAGGAACTTAATAATATTAAACGGTTGCTAAGTGAGAATGGTTATCCTGAAAAGTTTATTAATAAGAATCTGAATCTGTTGTAACCGTAGCGGAATTAAATGAGGACGCTGCCGCCTTGTTCTGTCTGCGCCTGACTAATATGCCTATCTGCTTCTGGCACCTTCCGATTCAGTGAATCACGCAAATATCAAAAGACAAAAGCTGGTCTGTGACTGTATATTGTAGTACAACAACTACGACGAAGAAACTTATTTAGGAAATGGTATTTATACATTTTTACAACAATACAGACAGCTAACAGCATTTGAATTAATTGGTTGTAATAATCAATAACAAAGTGCGTGGGAAATGACGATATACCACTTATGCGAGATTAACAGCCGTTGAAATAATTGAACAATAACAAAGTGCCTGGGATCCTATCAGAATCTGAAACCAAAGCAGCCCAAGTTACCAACAGTTCCAAAAAAGGCCTTATTCCTACAGATTCAGTTCCTAGGAGACAACACCAGTGAGATACTAACACAACGCCTTAGAAATGCGGTAAAAAGAGCATTCGTTGCTGCCGAATTACGCTGTATCTTTAAAACCACTCCTCTTCTGCGTTCGGGAATACAAGACAAACTGCCTAATTTCGCCTCTTCCATGTGTATCTACCAATTTAACTGCTCCTATGGAGCCAATTACATAGGCCGTACAATTAGGCGTGTTTCTCATCGAATTTCCGAACATCACCCTGCCTGGTTAAGCAAAGGACAAAAAAAATCTATTCGCAGCGCTATTCTGTCTCATCTTGTGGAGACAGAACACAAGATTGACATTAATCATGCTTTCAGGGTCATTCGCCGCATACCTACGAATCTCAATTTTGCCTTAAGAGTTCGACTACTAAATATTGCTAAGGCTGTGGGGATCCATATTAACAAGCCTAATTTATGCATCCAAAAGAAGTTAGTTCAGTCATTGTCCTTACCTTGGCCATCTAGGTTTGAATGATCCTGAATTTTTGTGGAATTTTCCTAATTTTGGTTGATATTCTATTTGCTACTATATCTTTATTATTATTATTATTATAGTTTAAGCATCTTTAATGAACTGTAATTCCATTGATCTTACTTTACAAATCGTTATTTATTTAAAAAACACTAATATTGTTATTGACTACTATTCTAGAATATTCTTTATATATTAACATATAATTGTAGAGCCGGAAGAGGAATTTATCGAAAAGAATATTCTTTGCTCGATTATTTTATGTTTTATAGATGTCTGAATGAATGTTTTTGCTATTTTGTTAATTTATTTGTTTTTTGTTTTAAATCACAGGGTTCAGACGAAGTTCGACGAGTTGTAGCTCTTGGTAAAGAATTTCACATTGACTGTTATCGTTGTGTTGTAAGTCTGAAGGATTTTCATCTATTCAATTGAATTTTGCTTTCAAATTACTCTAATTGATATAGCTGTTAACAAGCAACAGGATATACAGTCTATAAGATTGTTCCTAAAGTCAAATATTATTATTAGTGTTTCCTTTAGTTCCCAGAGGAACATAGGGCTTCATCCGTGCGTCTCCATTGCGTTCGGTTCTCTGCCAATGTTTTCACCTGGCTCCGCGTCTGTCCACACGCTTTCATCTCCTCTTCACATGACCTCCTCCAAGTCACCCTCACACTGACGACCAACTCGCCGCTTCCCTTTCGGGTTCCACTCGAGCAATGGCTTGTCTAGTGATGTCACTTGATGGTTTCCTCAGAGTATGACCAGCCAATCCATCTCCATTTCTTCCTGCCTATTTGTTTCACAGTCGGTTCCTGGTTGGTTCGCTCCCAGAGATCTCTGTTTCTGATCTTTTCTGGCCATCTGATCTTGAGTATTGAGCGAAGACAACTGTTAATGAAGGTCTGTAGTTTGTTTGAGGTGCTCTTTATGACGCGCTGGCCAAGTCTCTGATCCGTATAGTAGCACTGACTTCACATTGGAGTTAAAAATCCGGATCTTATTTTGATTTTTATGCTGAATGCTGTTGACCTCCACACAGACTTGAGAGTAGTGAAAGCTTGTCTTGCTTTTCCGATCCTTGCTTTGATATCCTCGTCAGTTCCGTCGGCCTGTAGTTGAAACGATGCTTCCCAGGTAGGTGGGTGAAGGAGGTTGTTTCTTTCAGGTTCCTCCCATTTATGCTTATTGTTGTGTGTTGTTGTTGCTGCTGTTGGTGGTGTTGCACAGGAATCTTCATCAGCACTGTTTTCTCTATGTTCACCTGAAGTCCTATCTTCTCTGGATGCGTGTTCTGGCAACTTGTTGCTTTTTGCTTGCATATCTTCCAGTTTGTGGGAAATCAGACATATAACATCTGCGAAGTCCAGATCCTCCAAGTTTTTGTGTGAGTCCATTTTATGCCTGTCTCCTCGTCGCTCGACCCACTTTCTGTCGCATTCTCCAGTCTACTGCAATCAGGAAAATCATTGGCGATAGTAGGCAACCCTGTCTTACTCCTGTCTTCACTTCGAAGGATTCCGTGAGCTTCCCGTTGTGGATTACTTGACATGCAGCATTGTCGTACAGCTGTTGGATGAGATGTATAATTGTCAGTGGCACCCCTTGGTAGTAGCGAAGTAGTTGCCAAAGCACCTCCCGATCGACGCTGTCAAAGGCCTTTTCAAAGTCGATGAAGTTGAGATAGAGAGGTGACTGCCATTCCAGGCTTTGTTCAATGATGATCCGTAATGTGGCGATTTGATCAATACATGACTTGTTTCTCTTGAATCCAGCCTGTTCCAGTCGAAGTTCTTCATCCAGGTTGGCTTGTTTGATTCTCTCCAGGATTATGCGGCTTAGTATTTTGCTTGGGATGGACAGGACCATAATTCCGCGCCAGTTCTTGCATTTGACTTAAGTCAAATATTATGATAATATCATTATTACGAGTGGAATATAAGGCATCGATAGGTGCATCTGCATTTGCTTCTGTTATCTGCAGTCCGTTTTAGTTTCCTCTACGTTTTCCCATGGGTTTTCAATTCCATCTCACACGATATGCTTCACATCCCCCTCGGATGCTTAACTCGTTGTATCCTATTCAGGCTGCACTCGAGGAACTACCTGGCGTGTGTGTGCCCAACCCGTCTCTATATCTTTCTGCATGTTTGTTGAGTAACATGTTCTTGTCTGGCCCCTTTCCACATTTCCTTGTCACTTGAAAAATACCCATCTAGACATGGAATTAGGAACAGACAGTTCCGCGAAGAGTCTCTTTTCAGGGAACTCATTCACTTAGTTGTACAATGGTGATTATATATTATTATTTGTGTGTGTGTGTATATATTAGGTTTGTCAAACAAGAGTATTGGACAGCTGTTTCATCCTAGTTCGGGACTCTTCAACAGTACACACCCTCCACCAGGGCTCGAACCCAGGACCTTCTGGTTACAAGGCAAGCTCGCGGACCATTAAGCCACTGGGACCCGATGCATTGACTAGTCCATGAATTCTAACTTCTGCCAATTCACGATATAGCGCAACCGTTAGCCAATATCAATGAGATGCTCACTGGTGACTGGCCCTATTCAGGTAGGTAGTCACCGGGAGTTCTGCTGAGTAGTCCTAACCAGTAGGGTGCAGCAAGTCTGGTGTGAGGACAAATACTTGCCGAAGACATTGGTTAGCGGTTGCGCTATTTCGTGAATCGGCAGAAGTTGGAATTCATAGGCTGGCTGGCCATTGGACCTGGTCCCAGTGGCTTAATGGTATAGGAGCTAGCTCGTCTAGTAACCAGAAGGTCCTGGGTCCGAACCGTGGGTGTGGGTGCGTACTTATGAAGAGTCCCAACTAGGACGAAGCAGCTGTCCAGTACTCCCTGACTGGTTTTCCAATGCTTCTCTAACTAATGTCAGCTCATGATGAATTCCTGTAACCAATCAACCAAATCCCTACAAACCAATACTTTAACTTCAGAAAAGTGATGGATAATCAATTTATAACTAGGGGGTGAAGATTATTAACTTAAGACTGAGGTTGAGTAATATGTAAAAAGCTCACAAAAACTGAATATTAACGAAAGAGCATAGAGGCAATTGTCCAAAATAAATCATGTGGTATGAGGAAGAGGGTGAACAAGAAGTTGGTTAAAATGTCGCATGAAAACAGGCTACAAGAAATAATGAACTAAACCCAAGATAGGAAGAGAGGATGGAGAAGTCTCTCCTGTGTACATAAATCATAGTGTTCCACCCGAATCGCTAACGTCACAACAATGCAAAGTACACTGAAGTATTCCGTTTTCCAGAGGCTTCTTTTGACTTTTTAGACAACTTCGAATGTATCTTCCTTACATATTGAGTGGCAACTGTTGAATATATATTCAACTATAACACTCCTCACTGATCCACAATAACCTTCCTGTAACCAAAAGAGATGGCGGTCGTTGAACTTTTCATTAGGTAAAACACGCAACGAACGGCCTATTTATCTCCCTCCACAAGAGCAACTGAATCCTTTCTGGTAGTCTCATCTTCAGTGTGGAGTAAGGAGAGCTGTTACAAAAGCTTTTGGTGGAGTGACAAGACTCTGAACCACATAGAAGCACTACTTGACTAAAAATCCCAAAGTAATAATATTAATTAAGCTTCCATTTCTGTTTCTATTTGAATCACATTTTAGGATTGTAAACGATGCCTAAGCGATGAACCAGAGAAACGTTGTTATCCATTCAATGAACCAGATCCTGGAGCGCCTGGTCGAAGTGTACAACGTATGCTATGCTTAAACTGTCATCTACAACGAATTGGTGCTATTCCAGCGACATCAGCTGGTGGAATTGTAAATAGTAATATTAACAATAACAGTAGTACTACTACTAATAATACTATCAGTAATAGTAGCAGCACTATTGGTGGTACTCTTGGTGGTCATACAAAATCAACAAGTGGAATTCTAAATTATTCAATGTCTAATAATCATATGAACAATTCAGGCGGTCGGTATTCAACTATGCCAAATCGTGTTCAAGCTTCAAAATTGAACACCTTGAACACAACAAGTACAGTTAGCCCGCCTAGTTCTGCTCCATCGTCTTCTTCTCATCATCATTATCCACATCATCAACCTTATCAGTTAAATACATCTTTAACAGCATCCACTTATCATACAACACCGCATATTCATAGTGCATATAGTACACCAAATTCACTTGGAGTCAAGCATCGAAGTACTAATGGTAGCAATATTAATAATAATACGAATACGAATAATTATGCAATTAATTGGGAAAGAGCAAGAATGAATGGTGCAAATAGCGCGAATCATCTCCATCATGGTGGCGAAAGTAGTAGTAGGAGTTATCATAATTCCTCCGAGACTAAAAGTTAACCAGTATAATTCTAATTTTATTTCATTGTTACACCAATGTATACAAATTATTATTATTATTCAGTGTGAATTTCATTGCTTTCCCCCACCGTCGAACCTTTAACCCTGCTCCCATACCACCGTCTTCATTTCGTGGAAATACTGGTCCGTTTCTATGATCAATCAACTTCTAGCCAATGGGCTCTGAAGTGGAAACTGTGTGACCCATAACCCGATACTGGAGTAACTCATCGAGTTCCAGCCTAATCTTGTTTATTGTATTCAGTTATAAAGTTTATTCTAGTCGAATGTCAGTTAAACTATCTTCCCTTCACTATTATGTATGATGAAATCAAATCGAATCAAATATATATACGCCAAAATATGCATTTCAGACTAGTTATATTCAGAACAAAACAGGCTATTGAAAATTACTATTATTATTATTATTACGCGCAATTATATAATAATAACTTCTAATTGAAGAACAATAACAGAGACGGACTGAACAATTCCCTTTATATCTTCTTCTTCTTTTACACTGTCTATTTCTGTCTGTCCCTGCCTCTGACTTTTCAATCTACTTCTAAGTGGATGTTGAAGAGTATACATTTTGGCGTCCTGTCTTCTCCCCAACTTGTTTTATGTTGTTCCACACCCCTTTTTTACAAATATATAATGATGATCATTTTAAATACTATAAAATCTCGGTGTAGATTTTGTTACGAACCAACGCATAGATTAGAGAATCACTGAAGACAAGGGATCAACGGTGATCATCCACGATCCTGCCAAATTTGAACTCGAGGCTTATAGGTTACAAAGCAATGTTCCTTGAACATTCAGCCAATTGGACTGGATTTCTTTGACCTCCGAATGCCAAATCTATCATTTCGTGATATCATCATTTAAATTTGCTTCTAAACGCTTGACAGAATAAAGTAGTGAATTCGTAATATAGCAACACCATCATGTCAAGGCATAGCATTCATAGGTGGCAGTAGTACATCACGAATTCATGGGTCACTAGACTCCAGTCTCTTTGGTTGGATGATCAGCAAGGTGGCTTTAAGAACTGAAGGTATTGGGTTCGGTTTCTGGTAAGGTTTTGGGTGCGAACCTCTGGTGAGTCTCAGGCTGGGAGGAAACAGACGTCCAGTGGTCCCTAGCATTCTTAGGGTCCTCTCTCTCGTGGGGACTGGATTTGGTGACGACTTTATCCCCAACTATAAGTAGCTAGCATGGTTACAAAGTGGCCAAACTATTCCGGTTGGTCTACGTCTTGACCATACAAATTACTAGATTCTTAGTCCGCGGCAAAGTAACTTGCAGTCCCGACAGCACTCAATGCAACCATAGCAATAGGGTGAGAACACTGAACAGTGAAAACAAACTATAACAGCCATCAAATGAGCCTGAGAAAATGATCATTTCGCTAGTCAGGAATGAGGCTTATGTGACGCTCAAAACAGTTTAACTATTTATTGTGACGATTCACACTCACCCTAGCTACTGGTTCCAACCCCAGATCCTAATGCAATCCTTAATCATAACCACAATATAACCCTCTGCCCTATATCTAACCCCATCTCTGACTCTTAGCCCTAATCTAACTAATAACCTTAACTCTAGACATTAAAAGTAGAAAGATCGGATTGTGAGGGAGCTCTTGAAGAGAAACTTACCCTTATGGAACCATTTATAGAAGGTTTCCTGATGCATTTTGTGTGTGCGGATTGTGAAACTAAGCAATGTCGATGTTTTCCTATACAAGTTTTACTGGCGGTCTGAAAAAGTTAGATACGGAGAGATTTTGAGCTTCACAAACTGAAGAACATTTAGCTCAATGTCCACAAGTAGTGCCTTGGATCATGGTGTCGAGGCAGTAGTGCTACCCACTAAATAAGTATCTCTTGAACCCACACTTTAAAAATACATTCAAATATTCTTGGCACATCTGCTGAAGATCAAAACAACCGCGCTCCTTGAATACGACGTGACTTTTCCTCTCTAACCGGAAAATACCTATTTTGTGAATTATCCGCTTGGGAAACCTGATCTTCCTAGCCGGTGAATTAAATTCAACCATTACTTACATATCGAATCTCTGTGTGGTAAGTCCAGCTGTCTCGAACTACTGCCAAAGCTTCAGGTGCTATTTTTGTAGCAGCATCTTCCCCACTCGTTCAGATAAACAAGACTTGTTGGTCTACCACGTGATTGCTGTGAAGCCGATCATCCAGAAAGTACTAGGTAAAGTCGAAAACCTTTTCTTTTCCTTGTCTTGTACTTTTTCAGTCTTATTCTTTTTCTTGTGGGTAGATACTGTTGCACTCTTATTCTTATACAGCATAAGTTTTAGCGATAGTTAATATGGCTGTAGAAAGTAACCTTAGAAATGGCACCAAAACACCTTACTCTGTAGTCACAAGGGCTTCAGCCAGAGAAGGCAAAAACGCAGGGACACCAACCCCAAATCGCATACCCATCCTAAAGATCCGTGTAGGACTCGTCTGTCCTGATACTATGCCTGCACTGCCACAGTCTAGTACTGAAACGGCGCAGGCAATACTAGTAGGACAGGATACTACACCTGCACCAACTGAAAGCCAATGTGTGAAGTACAACGAACCTAAAAGGAAACGCTCAAGACGTCATAAGACCTCGAAGGCGTCACCAAGTAAGGGAGATGAATGCCAGGCGTGCAATATCATTGTTTCTAAAGCTGACTCAGCTTTCGAATGCAATTTTTGCAAACGGTGGGTGCACTGCCGTTGCGACAAAGAGGTACCGAAATCATACTACGAGTTTATGAGAAATAACCCGTGCCCGTGGTTTTGGTACATCTGTCCACTCTGTCGCCCTGGTGTAGTCACACAGAGCGTGTCTGCGGTTAGCAGAAACTTCACGCCGCCCTTGTGTCCCAACACGGTCTTATGTAGCTCCCCACCTGCTAACATCACATTGCCAAAACTTGGCATAGACAGTAAGAAGGACACTCCGGTCCTACTGACCGAAAATGCCAATTTTCACAAGGTGAAGATTCACAAGGTTGGACCTAAAACATTAAGGAAAGATAGAGTTAGAGAAGCACCACTTGCATCCACAAGCAAGCTTGGTAACACAATAAAGGCTGGCCAGAACCCGATGAAGCCTAAAGTTGCTGATGCTGCAAAGGAATATGAGAAGCCAAAGGCCAAACCTAAGTCTGAGGTTAATCGGTCTAATTCGCTCATCCTCTTTAACGTACCTGTGAGCAAGGACAGCTTGCTTGAGGTTGTAAGACTCACTGTCAGCTGCCTGTATAGCAATGTGAGGGGGCTGAGAGTAAAAATAGGTGAACTCCGAAATATCCAAGCACACCTACAACTGAAAATAATCATCCTCACCGAAACATGGCTAACCCCCACTATCGCCGATAATGAAATCAGTATAGGTGATATGGTTTTGGTCAGGAGAGACAGGGATAATAAGGAAGGAGGGGGAGTTGCCATATACTTTGATAAGCAACTTAAATGTGTTCGCGCAACGAACCCACCACTTATTGAACTCCCAGACTCCATATGGTGTCATTTCACCGTAGGCCACACCAAGCATTTACTTGGTGGCATCTACCGATCTCCCATCTGTGGGGCAGAGCACAATCAGCTACTGCTCAGCACTATCACAGGGATACGAGACTTGGGCTATGACCAAATCACCATTGCTGGAGATTTCAATGCCCCATCACTGAACCTTGGCTTGGGGTATGCTAAGGGAAAATTCGGCCGAAATCTACTGCAAGCTATTCGGGACACGGGACTGACTGAGAATGTTGGAGACGACACTAGGTGGGGCCCTAGTGGAAAGTCATCAAAACTAGACTACATTCTAACTAGTGACCAACTACTCGTTGAAAAGGTCCAGGTCATGACTCCTCTAGGAAGTAGTGACCATGCAGTCATAGGTTTCGACCTCGTTCTCCGTGAGCACTTGCAGTGGGACGCTACGCAACCATGTCTGTGTTACAGCAAGGCTGACTACGCTGAAATGCGGAGGCTCTTGTCCAATGCAGACTGGCCCTTAGCATGGGATGAGCTGTCTGTGGATGAACACTGGGAAGCGGTAAAAAAGATTATTCATACAGCGATCTCGGATACCGTCCCTTTAGTCACAGCACAGCCAAAAAGAAAATCATCATGGTTAAAGAGAGGCACGCAGCGTATTCTGCAAGCAAAGAGGAAGGCTTGGTTTACGTGGCGCGTATCTGGAAGCCAGATCGACCATGATGCATACCTGGAACTCAGGAACCGGTGCAATGCAAGAGTCAGGAGGGACAGAAGGTCATTCCAGGCTAACCTTGCTAAAAAACTCCTGGCAAACCCGAAGAATTTGTACCGATTCATGTCGGAAAGGAAACCAACCAACCAAGGGGCTTGCGCCTTAGTAGGCCAAAACGATCAATATCTCACTAGTCTGGAGATGGCTGAAACATTCAGTTTAGCCTTCGCTAAACAGCTAAACAGCAATGTGGGTATTACCGTTACGAACCAAAATGGTGGCATGACTATTTCACAGGAGGAAGACCAAATAGCCACCCCTCAAATAAACCCTGCAATAGTACTGAGAAAGCTGCAGCGACTTATACCTGGGAAGTCCCCAGGTTGTGATGACATCAGGCCATCTGTTCTGAAACAGTGCGCCGAAGCTCTCTGTAGGCCTTTATGCGACTTGTTCCAACACTCCATGGAATCGGGGAAACTGCCAAAGGAATGGAAAAGAAGCATCCTTTCTCCGATCTTCAAGGGTGGGGATAGGCAAAATCCCACCAGTTATAGACCAGTAGCTCTACTCCCAGTGGTATCGAAAGTACTGGAAAGTATTATTGATGATCACATCAGGGAATATCTGGATAGGTCTAAAATACTCCATGAAGCCCAACACGGTTTCAGGAAAGGAAGATCCTGCGTCACTAACTTATTATCAGCTTGGGACGATTGGGGATATGAATGTTCCTGTCCATGTGATCTTTCTAGACTTTGAGAAGGCATTTGACACTGTTCACCATGACCTTCTCCTACACAAAATAAGCCAGGTAGGTCTAGGTAAACCACTTCTGTCATGGTTGAAGGACTACCTAACTGAAAGGCAATTTTGCACCAAGGTCAATCGAGTCCGATCATCTTGGCACAGCTCGTCATCAGGAGTGTCGCAGGGTTCTATCCTGGGACCACTGATGTTCTTGATTTTTATCAATGATTTACCATGCCGTCTAAACTGCCCGACTCTTCTATACGCTGATGACGTAAAGATATGGAGGGCGGTAAAGTGTCCGGAGGACTCAGATAGGCTGCAGGCAGATCTAAGGCTTCTGGAAGACTGGGCGGTAACCAGTGGAATGACTTTCAACCTGAAAAAGTGCAAAGTAGTGAAGTTACGCACCTGTAGACTGCAGAATGCAAGTTACACCCTGTGCAATGAAAGCTTGTCCTGCTCAACGTCGGAACGTGACTTAGGTCTAGTTCTAACGGAGAAAATGGACACAAGCGTGAATTACACGGGGGATGTAGCGAGGGCATATGCGGTCATACACTTTACACATAGACAATTAGGTGCACTCACTCCTGAGCTCTTTCTAAGGTTGTATAAAACATACGTCAGACCGCATCTTGAAGTGCATAATATCATTGCACCCCCACTGCTTAAAAGAGACGC